TTTTGGGAATTTTTGGTTTTTTGGGAATTTCAGGGTCCCTACCAGCTCTGGATGTCCCCAAAGGCTGCCCTGGCTCTCCTCAGGGAATTTTCCACCTCGTCCCTGAGCAGGGCCCTGAACCGAGCCAGGGCCACGGAGCAGCGCTGGAGATCCTTCACTGACCTGTCCAGGCTGCAGCCTGGGAAATGAAACCATAAAATACACAAAAAACACAGATAAAACACTGAAAAAACATAAAAAATAACACTGAAATCACACAGAAATAACACTGAAATCACACAGGCTGCAGCCTGGGAAATGAAACACAAAACACACAAAAAACACTGAAAAAACACTGAAAAAACATAAAAAATAACACTGAAATGACACAGGCTGCAGCCTGGGAAATGAAACACAAAACACACAAAAAACATTGATAAAAACACTGAAATAACATAAAAAATAACACTGAAATCACACAGAAATGACACTGAAATCACACAGAAATAACACTGAAATCACACAGAAATAACACTGAAATCACACAGGCTGCAGCCTGGGAAATGAAACCATAAAACACACAAAAAACACTGAAATTACACTGATAAAACACTGATAAAACACTGAAATAACACTGATAAAACACTGAAATCACACAGGCTGCAGCCTGGGAAATAAACCATAAAACACTGGAAAAACACTGAAAAACCACTGAAATTACACTGATAAAACACTGAAAAAACACTGAAATCACACAAATATAACACTGAAATTATACTGAAATAACACTGAAATGACACTGATAAAACACTGAAATCACACAGGCTGCAGCCTGGGAAATGAAACCATAAAACACTGAAAAAACACTGAAATAACACAGAAATCACACTGATAAAACACTGAAATCACACTGAAATAACACAGAAATGACACAGAAATAACGCAGAAATCACACTGAAATGACACAAATGAAACACAGAAATGACACAGAAATGACACAGAAATAACACAAAAATCCCACAAAAAATAACACAGAAATGTCACAGAAATGACACAAATAAAACACAGAAATCACACAGATAAAACACAGAAACCCCACAAAAAATAACACAAAAAATAACACAAAAATCCCACAAAAATGGCACAAAAACCCACAAAAACCCCACAAAAAGTAATACAGAAAATAACACAGAAATGACACAGAAATCACACAGAAATAACAGAAATAACACAAAAATAACACAGAAATCACACAGAAAATCACACAAAAAATNCACCTCGTCCCTGAGCAGGGCCCTGAACCGAGCCAGGGCCACGGAGCAGCGCTGGAGATCCTTCACTGACCTGTCCAGGCTGCAGCCTGGGAAATGAAACACAAAACACACAAAAAACACTGAAAAAACACTGAAATAACATAAAAAATAACACTGAAATCACACAGAAATCACACAGGCTGCAGCCTGGGAAATGAAACCATAAAATACACAAAAAACACACATAAAACACTGAAAAAACACTGATAAAACACTGAAATAACACAGATAAAACACTGAAATCACACTGAAATGACACAGATAAAACACTGAAATCACACAGGCTGCAGCCTGGGAAATGAAACATAAAACACTGAAAAAACACAGAAATGACACTGAAAAAACACTGAAAAAACACTGAAAAAACACTGAAATTACACTGAAATTACACTGAAATAACATAAAAAATAACACTAAAATCACAGTGAAATCACACAGATAAAACACTGATAAAACACTGAAATGACACTGATAAAACACTGAAATAACATAAAAAATAACACTGAAATCACACAGAAATCACACAGGCTGCAGCCTGGGAAATGAAACACAAAACACTGAAAAAACATTGATAAAACACACATAAAACACTGAAATGACACAGATAAAACACTGATAAAACACACATAAAACACTGAAATCACACAGGCTGCAGCCTGGGAAATGAAACACAAAACACACAAAAAACACTGAAATGACACTGAAAAAACACTGAAAAAACACTGAAAAAACACTGAAAAAGCACTGAAATTACACTGAAATAACACTGAAATTACACTGAAATAACATAAAAAATAACACTAAAATCACAGTGAAATCACACAGATAAAACACTGATAAAACACTGAAATCACACAGGCTGCAGCCTGGGAAATGAAACATAAAACACTGAAAAAACACAGAAATAACACAGATAAAACACTGAAATGACACAGATGAAACACAGATAAAACACAAATAAAACACAGAAATGACACAGATGAAACACAGAAATCACACTGATAAAACACTGAAATGACACAGAAATAACACAAAAATCCCACAAAAAATAACACAGAAATGTCACAGAAATGACACAGAAATCACACAGAAAAAAGATAAAAAACCCACAAAAAATTCCACAAAAAATAACACAAAAATCCCACAAAAATGGCACCAAAAACCCACAAAAAACCCACAAAAAGTAATACAGAAAATAACACAGAAATGACACAGAAATAAACACAAAAAAGCACAAAAACCCCACAAAAATCCCACAAAAATCCCCCCAAAATCCCCCACAAATCCCGTGGCAAACCAGCCCCAAACATCCCCTGATCCCCACACGCTTTTTCCCATTTTTCCCCATCTTTTTCCCTTTTTCCCACATTTTTTTCTGATTTTTTTCCATTTTTTTCTGATTTTTTTCTCATTTTTCCTGATTTTTTTCTGATTTTTCCACATTTTTTTCTGATTTTTCCACATTTTTTCTGATTTTTTTTTCTCATTTTTTTCTGATTTTTTCCCATTTCTTTCTAATTTTTTTCTCATTTTTCCCCATTTTTTCCCCATTTTTTTCTGATTTTTTTTCATGTTTTTTCCCAATTTTTTCACCATTTTTCCCAGATTTTTCCTGCTTTTTTTTCCCCGAATTTTGCTGATTTTTCTGGATTTTTTTCCTCCCATTTTTTCCCATTTTTTTCCTGTTTCCCATCCCAAATTCCCATTTTTTTAATCCCAAATTCCCATTTTTTCCTCCCAAATTCCCATTTTTTTACCCCAAATTCCCATTTTTTTGCCCCAAATTCCCATTTTTTT